TGTCCCTACTCTGTTGTGGCGGAGCAGTGGGAACTCCAGACTGGGGGTCAGGACCTGGGTTCCAGTCCTGCTCCGCTCTGACTTGGGATGAATCTTAGGCCATTCCCCCTCTCTGAGCCCCAGTCTCCTCTGTGAAGGCACAGTGATCTGGGGAGCTGGATAAAATGCAGATTCCTTGGCCTTGGAAATGGCTTCAGCAGGTCCCTAGAGCAGGGTCTCTGCATTTTAACAAGGCCCGTGGCTTTGGATGTGAGAGGAACCTTGGACCACAATTTGAGCAGCTCTGCAATTCCATGGCCTTGGGGAGCCTGTGGGAGGGCTGGGACTCAGAGTGGACGGAGCATGGCCACCACCAAGGCTGTGAGGCCACAACCAGGAGCAGAAGGACCATGAGATGTCACCCGGTAGCAGCCTCCAAGGCTCTGTGAAAAGGCTGCCCGCTGGCCTGCGAGGCATGGACCTAACACAGAAAATGTGCTCTCTGAGCATCTGTGTGGGGCTGGGCAGAGACTGGGGATCCGAAAAGCTCCTACAGCTGCTCCTGAGATTGCTCTCATGGCCCTTGACCTCTCTCCACTCTGGATTTCTAAGGAAGGCGGTAAAACAGTTTCCCTCTCCTTCTGGCCTCCTGGCCTCCCGCATGAGCTCTCTGCTCTGAGGATGAGTGGACACGGGGAGGGTGGGGACAAGTCAGGCAGAGGGGCTGAGGAGGTGGGTTCGCTCCCCCCCTGCTGTCGAGGCCCCTGTGGAGACCCTGCCACAGGTGCTGGCTGAGCTCAGGGGCCGAGGCTGCAGCAGGTGGATGGAAGCAGCAGACGGATCTGGGGGGGCGGCCAGCTCTGACGTGGCCTGGGACATGGGACATAGGACATGGGGGGGGTCGGGCCAGGATTGGTCTTCACCTCAGCAGGGTCTGGTCCCAAGTGTCCCTTTGTGGGCCTTGCTGCCTGTCTCCACAAGGAGGGAGATTTTACTTAACGTAACCATAAGAAAGGACCAGATGAAACGTGTTAAACCGCTCCAAGAGAGGGAAAGGGGGACAAAAGGTGGAATTAATTGTTAGGGGCTCTGGATTAATTCTGGAGTTACTTGTGTGACTGAGGCCTCTTCTTGGGCAGGAAGCCACTAGAAAGAAGAGTTGTACATGGAGTTACAATGATGCCTCATGTTCCCTTCCCAGGCTAAGAAGACAGGGCCAGGCTCTCCAGCTGTGGGCTCAGGAGGCTGTTCTGTTAGTGCCGCCCAGGCAGAGGCCATTTCATAATATTTAAGAAATACTAAAGCCATTTTATTGAGGGCTTATCACTTTGACAAGGGCCTTAAATGCATTATCTCATCTAATTCCCATAGCCCGGTGGACTGTTTTATTAGCCCATGGGTAATATTATTATCTACATTGGTAGATGAGGAAACAGGCTCAGAGAGGTTAAGTAACTTGCCTAGAGTCACTAAGCCGTAAGGGACAAGGCCAGACTTCAGCCCCGGTCAGCTTAACCTCTGATCCCTATGCAGTGGTCCTATTGGGGATCATTGGCATGTAACTGAGTACATGGTACACAGTAGGTGCTTAACCAAGGTTTGCTGATTGTTGAGGTCTTTTTGACGTGGCTTTTCTGCCGCTAGGTGGGACCACTTCTAAATCTCCCAAGCTCCTAACTGTCTTACCTCTTTGGCCTCTCTGTCCCCACTTGAGGACTCCTTTTGATCTTTAGCCAAAGTGAGTGAGTGCAGGCCAAGCTGCCTGGGGCTGAGTACAAGAGCTCTAGGGTCACAGACCCTCCTGCAGCCACGCCTGGCACGCTGTGGCTATTGGTGGCCTGCCCTCCCAGGACATTAGTGCGTGGACTGCTGCTTTAGGAGTTGCTGTGAGTGTCCAGAGCCAACCTCTGGGATGTGCTGAGTGCAGAGGGCTGGCTGCTGGCTTGGTCTGGGTTCCCAGGGCCCAGGCCTTGGGGGAGGAGGAGGAAACTGAATGCTTCCTAACCATATGGTAATTTGCTGAGAGCAGTGGTTCTCAACTGGGGGTGATTTTTTTTTCCCTCAGGGAACATTTGGCAATGTCTGGAGGGATCTGGGGTTGTCCCATCTGAGGGGTGCTACTAGCATCTAGTGCATAGAGGCCAGAGATGCTTCTGAATATCCTTCAACATCCAGAAGAGCCCCTGCAACAAAGGATTATCTGATCCAAACGTCAACAGTACAGGGTTGAGAAGCCCTGGCCCAGAGCGGTTGTGGGGCAGTCTCGGCCCCGCCTTTCAGAGGCCTGGCTTGAGAACATCTATCTAGAAAGGTGTGCCCAGGGGGCCAAGAAGGAAACCACTCCCCTGGATTTGGAACTGTGGTGTTTCTGAGCCCCGGATGAGCACACCTGCCTCCTCAGGGGCAGGGGAGACCTCGTACAGCCTGAAGCAGTGGCCCATGGTAGGTGCTTTGTGGGTGTGCAGGGATGGGGGCGGTTGGCCTGCCCCCTGCTGTGGGGTGCTGGCAGGAGCCCAGGACCATGCATACCAGTTTTGACACCCCCTTTCTCCAAATCCCTGAAAGCACCCCCCACCCCAACAGGACTCTCGAAGTGCACTTCCTGGCAGGGTGCATTGTCCTGCTCCCACCTTAGTTTTCTGGGGAATGTCTCCCCAGGGGTACAGCCTTCCAGAGACCCCTTGGCTCACAGGCACTCATGCTTTCTCACGGGCATATCAAGCCACATCTCATCTGTTCCTCCCTAAAGCCCCCGCCCCACAGGGGATCCCAGCCTACCATCCTTTGTCCCAGTGGGGACTGGAGGGCACAAAGCCCGGAACCTTCCCTGGGTGCCTTGGGCTGGCAGTGACCTATATGGGGTTGAGGGTCCAGGCCACCCCTCAACCCCCCCACCACCCTTCCACGATTGGGCTGGACACACTGACGCCATCCCGGGAGGGGGGACTCCATTACTCATGCCGCTGTCGGTGGCAGTTTCTTAGGTGAGACTTAACAACCCTTGTGCTGCAGCCTAAGCTCATTTCTGCCTGACCCTCAGGGAGGAGCTAAAAGATGCCTTCATGGAAAAGCCTTCCCTCCCACCTTCGGCTGACTCGTTCCGACACCAGGGGGTTGTCCCATGCTCTCTGAGTCAGTCTTCTCATCTGCCAAATGGGAAAGGATGTCACTGTCACCACGGACAGGATGTCATAGGGCACGTAAGAAGCAAAAATGTTCTCCTCGGCCTGCCAAAAAATGTCACCATTAGGGCTCCCTTCACTGTTTCCTTTTTTTACAAGAAAAATATGTGCATTTGAGGCTGTCACACGCCAAAAGTCAGCTCTCCTGTTGCTCCCAGACCCAGGCAAATTCAATCCTCTAGCTTTTCATATGGCACACAGTATGAGAATAAATAATTACAGGAATGTTAAACAAAGCAAGAACTACTAGCAAAAGGGAAGGAAGGAAGGGAGGGAGGGAGGGGGGGGGAAGAATCCTCACTAGAGAAGGGGTAACATAAACCTCTGGGAGAAACAGCGCAGAGAGGCTGTGCATGACCTCAGGAGAGCACTGGGACAAGCTGGGGGTCCAGGCAGGAAAAAGATCAGAAAAGGGAGCCAGAGAGACCCTGCCCCCACTCCCCGCCCCCCGGGGCCGGAGCCTGGGTGGGGTCGCCTGGCACTGGGGGCAGGGGAGGGTCTGGGCTTGTGGTTGAAGGTGCTGCTTTTTCAGGGGTGCCTGCCTTCCCATGTGGTCTGTCTAGATACACCCCAGAGGGCAGGAATGTCAGCTGAGGCATACCATAGCCCCTCAGAGGCCCCCAGCAGATGACCTGGCTTGCAACATCTGACTCACACGTGCGAAACCTTTGGAGCACTAGGGCTCAGCTGGTTCAGGGTAGAATCCTCAGCTGATGATCGGTTTACCTCATGCTTTCCCCAGTCCGACCGTGTAAGTGGGGAAGGCCGGGCAGGGCCTGTGTCCCCAGCGGATGCTGCCGGGCCAGGCTCCCTGCCCTGTGAAGAGTGGCCCCAGCGGAGGCCGCGGCCTTACCTACCTTGCTCTGTGGTGGAGGGCCTGGCTTGCTGCTGCTTGGAGGGGCGGCGGCAGGAGCAGACAGGAACATGCTTCGGAACAGCCTGCGCTTCAGGCTGCTCTCCAGGGTCTTAGGGCTGGGGCTGCCCTCCCCCACCGGCCTGCCTGCAGCCGAGCCCACCAGGCAGGACTGTGGCCGGGCCTCCTCAGAGCCATGTCCGGCAGTCTTGGGCCCCCGCCTGCCCGCGGCCGTGGAGGCCGAGGTGCCGGTTGGGGAGCTCTGCAGGCAGCGCTGCGGGGCACCCTGGAACTCGGTGGGGCCCAGGGACTGTGCCTTGGTGGCCAGCCCACTGGGCAGGACCCGCGGGCTCTGTGGCTCGGGCCATGGCACATGCCTGCGCCCTGCTGGTGCGGCCCCGTTGCAGCTGAGGTAGAGGCCATGGGGGTCCCTGCGCTCAGACTGGGGGCTCCGCAAGTACATGTCCGGGTCGGGGGCCCACTGCTCATCCCCTAGCAGCCCCAGGGACTGTGCCCGCCGCCGGCTGGTGGGGCTGCGGCCGCGCAGGGTGTTGGAGCTGATGACTGACAACTTCTGGATATCGTTGAGCAGCCCCGAGATGTAGCCGTCCGTGGGCACCGCGCTGCCCCGCACCCCTGTCTGCCGGGGGGGGGGGAGGGGGGGGCGG